CCCCAAAACCCCAAAACCCCAAAACCCCAAAACCCCGTCAAATAATTATAAAATAGTAATGAGAAGTAAGTATCAGTTAAAATCAAATTATAAAAATGTCACACTAATAATTCTAAAGAGTTAACTCATCGCTGCACAATTGCTAATCAAGTTTTGGAAGTAAAGAATTTTCATATAATGATAACCGCAGATACAATAAGTCCTTTATTAAACACCCAAAAAATGATTTTAATGATCGCTCTGAACTTGAGGATTTAATGATTTATCCTGACCAGGAATCAGTGATTGAAGATAATTAGGAAATTTGTAAACTTTTTAAAGAACTTTATCTTCAATATTGTGCATAATTCAGTATTAGTCCTGTTCAAAGATTCATTAAATATTTCAAATATGAAATTCACAAAAAGAAATTTGACTTCTCAAAGTGCAATGTATGTGATAGATCATTAAAGCCTGTTCTTTTAGCTTTGATATAGATTAGCGAATTGATCGAAATTTATGAAGTTTCCTTTTCGCACAATTAATTTTTCAAGGATTAGAGCATTAAACTTCTTATTGAAACAATACCAAATATGACATGGCTCAAAAATTTGTAAATAGAGAAAATAAATGTATCTGATTCGGCAATGCTTAAATTCATAGATTTCAATTGCTTTCAATACCTAAATGAGCTTAATATATCCTCAAATAACTTAAGTTATGTCTGCTTTGATGAGTTAACTAAACTTTTTAAGACAAGAAACTCCTTGAATCTTAAATAATTAGATCTGAGTAACACTAAACTTACTGATAAAAGTGGTATTGAGCTTTTCGAATCTGTATTAAATTACACCTAGATTAAGATACTTAATCTATCTAGAAATTAGAATTTAGGATTTAAGTTTTCTAGTTATAGCATAAACTTACTGAGATCATACCCAGAAATTTATCTCTAAAAACTAGATGTAAGTTATTGTAGCATTAGCTAGTTGCATCAATAATAAATTGGCAGTTTAATTCATTAGTGCAAGTTGAGAGAGTCTCTAGCACAAGAAGCTTTGTTAAATGATGAAAGAATATCAATTAAAAAACAAATCAATTAAGGCAAGGAAAATGGAAGGTTACAGTTCATGAGTTTCCACTAATAACTTCAAAGAGGAGATTCTATAAATCATTCTTAAGAATTATAAAGACATAGTACTATCTAGCAATAGCAATAATAACATCACAATTTTAATAATGCTGAGTACTTCGAGCTAAATCTTAAGACCTCAGAATAATCATAAAACTCATCATTCCATCAATCTCCTTATAATCAAAATCTAAAGTTAAAATTTAAACAGCATTCCCCTATCAGTAACTATGGTTAATCTCCAAAAGGTCAAAAAAATAGAGAAACTATCTTGACAATGAGTCCTATATCACCTGTAGAATCAACTATAGGGAAATATCTGCAGATCTATGATTAACAAACTAAAAATCAACAAGATATCCTTGAATAGACTACTATCCACAATATTAATTCTAATTCATTCAAGAAACATGAATTGACAAACTTGCATTAGAGAAGGAAAAATTCTAAGGAGAAAAAGAATGAGCACTTCAAGTAAAGAGAGTCCTCCTAGCCTTATAAGATACATGAGCAAATAAATTCCTCTTCTCAGACTTTGGACGATAGGTCGATAATAAGTAGTCTTTCAAATATTCTTCAAACCTAAGATTCTGTTGGATAGGAGCACGAAAATCCTGTCTACAAGAACTAGTAATAATAGAATAATCCAGTAAAATAGAGCAGCTTGATTATAAGACCAAGGTCTAATACATAGTAAGATCTATTCTAAACATACTAGGATAAAGATTAACATTGCTTTAAACATAGTGGTAATGATAATTCATAAAGCTTTAACTTGTAAAATATACAAACATAGAGTTTTCAACTGTAACCATACAGGCCACCACTAGCTGATTATAAGCAAAAGACAATAAGCTATAATTATGTAAGAAATCTTAAAAAGAACTAAAAGTTAAATGCTGATTTAAGATAGTATTCACTTTATGACATCAATCCAACTGGAGCTCTTGATTCTTAGAATTTTTCAAATAGCAGTTTTGTTACTCCACAAATAATTAAAACTCAAAGTAGAATTTTTAATCAAAATGGCTTACCAACATCTCAATAAACATCGTGTGATAAGTTCAACAGCTAAAAGAGATAAGAATAAAAATTAAATCTAAATAGAATAATCGACAATCAGATGTCTTAGCATGAATTATAAAGGACAGACAGATATTCCAGCAATTCATAGAGTAGATCTTATAGCAAAAAGAGAAACAACTCTAATCTAACAACTAAGAGACAAATGTCCTAAGAGAAGTTACTTAGACAACAGTCTACTATAATTAAGAATCCAAGGATAGCTAATACTTCAGTTAAATGCACTCAAAGAACTTAAAAGAAGGATATTAGTAATAATACTAGCCATCTTTAGTCTTAAGAAACATTAATTACATCTGGGTAGACTCAGTCTACTTTGTTTAATCAATTAAGTGGGGTCTAAAATATAATCTCGAATACTCAATAAAAGCCATTGCAACCGCATTAAAATTCCTATCTTAACATTAGATAATCAAATTTGATAAACAAAAAGCAATAATCTCACATTTCTACCAGACCAACATCGTCAATGAATACAAAAAGACCTATGACTAATTCGAATTCTCAAGATAATCTTGTGACTTAAGTCTATACACCAATTAACATATAGAATAAAGAAAATATTGTGAGAAACTAAATTAACATTTAAGAGATGTCTTAGTTGAAAGTAATTATCAAAAATGAAATAGAAAGACTATAAAACATTTATGAAACTATAGACAATGTGATGCATCAAAGTAACTCTCAAGGCGACTCAAAATAACAATAGTAAATCAGACAGTAATCGTAAAACAATTTCAGCGCATTTAGTACCTTAAGCTTTAATAAAATCCTTTGAAAGCAATATTAATCAACTTGTAATCAAACATCTAAATTTCTAATTTGCATATTCCGATTTTAATTTTTATTTGGCTTAACGGGGTTTTGGGGTTTTGGGG